GATGGTGGTAATGTTAGTGGTGGTGGTGGTGGTGGTGGTGATGGTGGTGGCGGTAGTTGTCAACGTGATGGTGAAATAAAATGGGCAAAGGCTATAAAGCATTAGGGAAGTTTGCAGAACAGAATGAAGATCAGAGTATAAGGCAAGGCAAGTCTTGCAAAAGTGCACACAGTAGCCTCTATGAACAGGTGAGGTAGAGGCCTGGAGGGCGTGTGGGTGTTCAAGAGCCACACGAGTGGAGAAGAGTATTGCCGTGTCTTATGAACGGAGATCTCCCTAGATAGAGGGCAAAATTCAGTCGTTCCCTTCCCCTTCTTTCTTCTATTCGCTAGTTCATCCAATTTACTGTGATACAATGAATAAATGCATACCTACACCTCTACACACACACATGATACATACGTTGCACATGCATGCACATATGCAGGTGTCTGGAGGCAGTATCCTAACAGTGCAGAACGGTGCCTGTCGCCACGCTGACGGGTCTGACTACTCAGACAGGAGCCGCACAAGCAACCCTGCAGTTAGAAGCCATAGTCGGTGACATGAAGGACAAGGAGCGTCCCCGCGGGAGTGAGCAATAAGAGTTGGGCAGCCTGTCCGAGGCAGTGACCTCAACGATGTCACATCATAGTTAAGCAAGGAGAAGAGAGCTTGGTGAACCTGAGGTCCTGAGAGGGCCACAGTGACCCGGCCTTGGAGAGGGGTGTGCTGGGACGGACGGCGGGGAATCAGCAGGGAAAGAGCGCGTCTGGATTGGAGACCAGCTTCTGATCTGGGCAAACCCTTCCCATCCCTGACTTAGGTCTCCTCACACCCAGAACTCCCTTGCTTTATTCAGATTTTCACACCCGCGATTAAAAGGCCCGAGCAGAGCAACCGCAGAGGAGGAAAAGTCCATTTTGGGGCTCACGGTTGCAGAGGTCTCAGTCCCTAGAAGGCCAGCTCCCTTGGTCGGGGCTCGAGGTGAGGCAGGGCATCATGGCGGAGGAGAGTGGCTGAGGGAAGCCCCGCACGGCAGGGTGACCAGGAGGCAGAGACGCCCCTCTCCAGAC